ATGTCCGTATAAGTAAAAATTTATCAGAAAAGTTGAACTCCATGATTAGTTTGTTATGTATACATGAATTGATGACAATTAACCGAACTTGTTTTTTAAAATAAAGGGGATATCTGTCAAAAATAAGCAAAACGTTNTCCGGCACAATGTTCATCCTCCACAGATATTGAAAACTTAGGCAAGAAATCACGACCATGTCCCGGTTTCTTCCTTCTATTCACTTGAGGGGATACATCATCACTGTCCGTTTGTGATGATTCTGGAGTACTTTTTGTACAGGACAGATCTAAAGACACCTACACATGAAAAATAATTAAATATTATTCAAACGACGTTCGTGTTATAAATACCAATTTATTTTCGGCGGTTTTCTTCTTCTCTGTCGTCCTAGGACGTAAGTTGTCAGACAACTTCAATTTTGGTTTTGAATCTACAGTGTTGATCACATCAGGAACAGAAGAATCTGATGTATTAGTTTTGAGAGATAAAGCGCTACTGTCAAGATCAGTATCTGTACTTAGGGAACTAAGTTCTGACACCTTCTTATACTGAGGAGAGCAGGACGAAAACAAACCAAATACTGGAGAATCATCCGTGTCATCTGTATCATCTTCCAGTTCATGTGAGTATCTATCAATTCGACCTGAAAATGAGAGCCAGAGGAGACAGAGGAATATGCCCCACAGACTTCCTCACCACAAATAATAAAAATATCGAATCCAACAAGAAAAATATCACAATTCTTTGACAAAAATTAAACTATTTTTTCATTCGGAGTCAAAAATACTTGGACAGTACGAGATGTTCCTATTGTGATTTGGAATTATATACACATTCCTTGAAATAATGAATTTGAATAGGTACACCAATTGAACAAAGAGTGACAAAAATTTCTTTGAAAAGATTGGAAGAAACCCCCATTGCTTGTGAAGTTTCGTTCTATAATATGTAGTAATGATTGTGTAGCAAATCTTTGTCTGAAAAAACTTTTTGCCTTTCCACCCAAATAAATTTAAGAAACTCCCGAAGAGAAGAAGACAGCAATTAGATTTAAACTCTTTACAAAAATGTATAGATCATGCATAGAAGTTACTTTCAGATACAAAATGGAAGAAAAAGTCCTCCCAAAACAACTACTTTCACATTTAAGTCCAATTTAATGTTTATGTAAAAGTAGTTGTTTCAGTTTGTATCTGGAAGTAAGTAACATGATCTACACATCTTTGTATTGGTAATTTTGACCTCGATTGCTTTCTTCGTTCCTTCGGAAGATTCCCACCATTTTTGTGTACAAAGATAGAAAACTAGAAAGTCAAAAAGTATACACCTTTCAATTTTAATCTTTGTCACTTCTAATGTCTAACAATAATGAGCAAGTTTCTAGATGTACTTATTTTTCAGTAGCATCTGAACATTCAGTACTGTCCGGTATTGCATTCGCCACATTCGATACTACTTTCGCACTTTCGCACAGGCACCGCTCTGGGAGCGCCTTAAAGATTTTTCTGTAGTGCTTGCGGTTCGTCCTTAAAAATAATTATTGAGATATGGGGCTACAAAAACATTTGAAATTAAAACGGACAAAACCTTTGAAACAAGCTATAATTCTCAGCAGGCAGGTTAACTCGTATCAGATACTTAGTGAATACTATTAAGTCGAAACACTTGATAAATTTCTTTGAACATATTTTTCTACTTCAATATCACCAAAGTTATGGCCATACATAAAAGAAACATTGTGGGGATATCATAAACATCGATAACACTCCAATTCCACGTCTGAACGAAATAGTGATATTGCCAAAAACGAGTAATTTGAGTGCGAACATTCCACTCCGATATCATCCCCCTCCCAATTTAGGGGAGTTCGACTGCTACCATATGGATGCTAACTGAATGATGCATGAGAAAGGCAACGAGGGATTTTATCTAATTTATAAGGCTGTACAGGGGTGTTAAATCATGATGATGTAAAATGAATTACAACGTGAATTATTTAGTACCAATCGTGAAAGCTTAGGATTTCCAAGTGAAAGTGAAGTTTCGCTTAATGAGACTGATGATCGAATTGATTCTACTGCCAATCACATTGTTATCTATTTCTGCTAGAGAAAAGGTGACCAAATCACAAAAAGAATGTATTATGAAAAAAAGTACAATTATTGATTACTATACACTTTTCTCAAGCGACGGACGTTCAATAAGTTCGATACCGTTTTTATAATAAGAACTGTCTTGCTCCTCAAAAAATCCATTAACTGCCGACATCACTTCTTCATCGTTAGAAAAACTTTCAAGTTGGGGAACAGAAAATAATCCGAAGGGGTTAAATCTGACGAATAGGGTGCATGAGGTAGGAATTCAAACTCTAATTCATTGATTTTGGTCATTGCGATAATAGATTCGTGACCTGGTGCATTGTTTTGTTGAAACAACACTTTTTTTAGCCAATAGCAGCTGTTTTTGCTCTTGATTTCTTCACTCAAACGTTGCGGTAAGTTCGCATAATACTCGCCGTTGATAGTTTGGACTTTTTTCAAGATAGTCAATGAACATTATTTCACGCGCATCCCAAAAAACCGAAGCCATGGCCTTGCCTGCAGATGAAACCGTTTTCGCCTTCTTTGGAGCTGATTCTCCTTTTTTTAACACGCTTTTACCAGCTTCACCTCTATGTATGTATATTTGTTTGTTTGTTTGCTTGTAATTCTCAAGCTCGGGATCTGTATTTGACAGAATTCTCGACATTATAGCTTGATCTACTCGCAGGCAGATGGCGCTATAAGTAAGCTCATTGATATATGATCATGAACATTTTTCTAAACAATATTCGGCTGATTGATCCCAAAGTTTAGATAAAAAAACTAAAAAACACGCTTTCAAAAAACATTGAACTGAAAAATTGAAAATATTTCTTTTAAAATAAGCTCAAAACAATAACGAACGAAAAATCTAGTATTATTGTGAAAAAATGTTGGCGCTTTGTGCCATATTTTTTGTATATCAAGCGTCCGTCGCTTTTTTCACAATAATAACTAGTAGTTTTCGTTCGTTATTGAACTAAGCCTATTAAAAAAATATATTTTTAACTTTTTAGTTCCATGTTCTTTAATGCTCGTCTTGGCAGCACGAAGGACCTCGTATAAACTTTGCTACTCAGTATTTCACTATAGTAAACGAAGGAGCAAACTCACTCTGAGTAGAATCTAATTCAGCTTTCATATTTGTTGGACGAGGCCTTCCAAATAAAAGTATTGTATTACATAACGATGACCAATTTTCTCCATTTTTACAAATTCACCGAAATCGTTCGATATTGATAGCTGTCAAATGTTGGACAACGCAGCGTCTTCAAACTTGAAACATATGCTTTATAAAGTGTGTACTTTCCAATACAGTACTATTTTTCAAACAACTATCGCTATCTCTATGTCAGGCCAGGTACTTCTGAGACCACCCAGGTACGTTTGTGTATTTTTCAAATTATTTTTAATTTTTCAATATTACATGTGATATACCTATGTTTTTGTATATCTACTTTTGCCTATTTCTTCATCTATTTTGAAGACACTTGATCGTTTTTATAGAACCACCTATACAGTACATTTCTTTGATGCCCCCCCCTTTTATTTTTTGAGCGGGTCAACTCAAAAAATTGAAAGTTGAGATAATGAAATTATTGCATGAATACTTTATTTTGAAGTGAAATTGAAAGATGAAACTTTCAAGATGGCAACTGGGCGCCATCTGGGAAAGAAATTAAAAGGAAAGGGAGGTCTTGTGACATATCATTTCGTAGCTTCTGACGAATACTTCACAACCCTAGAATATGAAGTCAATATTTTTACCTACTACAAAATGGCTGAATATTTCAAAATTTCTTAAAGACAAACACAATATCGATATTTCTAGAATTTATACCTTTATATCTGCCATATGGCAATTCCAACATCCGATAAGGTTTGTTGAGTTATTTTTTGTTTGCCGTTATTGTGTGACACCAACCCTTACGTTTTCCGAGAAACACATACCCAATATCCAGAAAAAATTACCGTTTGGGAAGGAATATTGGGAAACCATATCGTAGAACCTCTATTTATTGATCAAAATTTAACAGGGGAACTGTATTTGAATATGCTGGAAACTGTTGACCCTCTTATCACTGAAATCGTCGAAGCGAATACTAATGAATTCGATATGGATATTGTATTCTAACAAGATGGAGCAATACCACATCACTCCAAACAAGTGAGGAACTAGTTGGATACTACTTTTCCTGGTCGTTGGATTGGCCAACGGGGTTCTACAGAATGGCTAGCCGGCTCACCAGATTTGACACCTTTGGACTTTTTTCATGGGGCTATTTGAAGCAAAAGGTGTATGAAACTGAACCTCCTCCAATATTGGATGTACGGCAGAGAATAATAAATATTTGTGGATATATTGACGTTACTGTGTTCGAAAATGTTCGGCGTAAAATATCGGGTAGGCTGTTCATATGTTGAGAAGTTCAAAGCAACCCTTTCGAGCATCTTCTGAACTGACCCCAAGCTTATTACCTCATATTATGTAGGTAAATGTCAATGTAGCAGTCAAAGATATTGATATTATGTTTTAGGGTTGTGAAGCATTTTTCGGGAGCTTTTAAAAGATGTGCCACAACACCCCCCTTTCTATTTAATGTTTTTTTCCCAGATGGCGCCAAGTCGCCATTTTGAGTTGACCCTTTCGAAAAATAAAAGGGGGGGACAATGAAGAAATGCATTTTATATCGTTTCCACAATTTAAAATACTAGGAATGATCAAAGTGATCTTGACTAATCAGACCTGAACAATTTTCACTTTGTTCCTATAAACTTGTAAGGAATGACATTTGAAAGGTTCTTCAGAATGACTTGGTAATGCCACAACGAGAATTGAAAAATTAAAAATTCTCAGAAAGCTCACAAAATATGAAATCGGGTGATGTACTTTTGTACTGGGTGTTTAAAAAAATAAGTATGATTGGTTCACACGAATCATCCAGTATAAGGGAAAGTAATTTAAAATATAGTTTTGGTATAGGGTAGGTTAAGTTGTAAAACAGCCTCGACTGAATTCCGCCCTTTCATTGATTTTTGTATATACCTCTTCTTCATAAACAATGTACGTCAATTAATAAAGCCTATTTATTATTATTTATTAAATCCATATTTTTTAACATGAGAGCATTGGACTGAATAATCTGGATGACACCTCCTTTATATTGTATTGAATGACTACCAATCATTCTATTAATTGAAATGAATACACTCTACGTTTTTTCGGAATATCTCTTCCGGAAAAGTCTCACAATTCATTGAATTTTGTTTCAGTTACTGGCAGATGGCAACAAATCAAACCCTCCGGCGATAAAATACCATGCCTTCAGGAACACACAGCAGTGTCGTACAAGGAATGTATTTATGTTTTTGGTGGAGAAGTAGGATTTTCAGCTGGAACTGAAACCCCTTTGTGGATATACGATATAAAAGCCAATATATGGAAGAAGAAACGCACAAAGAAAGGTGAATTTTTTCAGCAAGTTTGTAACTAGCAGTAAAATTTCCCTCGTTTAATGATTTGGATGACTCTCTTTTGAATGATATGAAGTGATATTTAGTTTGAGCAATGAATATTTCGTGTGTTCTGAATATCCCCAATATTTTAAATGGGTTTCCAATAGGAGAAGAATTATTCCAGTTCATAACGCAACACATCAAGAATCACACATCACCATTTCTTCCTATAACATTCCCTCACAATCTACTCCAAAATCTCTCAAATAAAGGAGTGGGACCCGATGAGCTACCAACAACATTCCTCAAAAACTGTGCAGAATATATTGCATTACCACTTCACATAATCTTTGATAAAAATCTCAAAGAGAGAATAAGTATTTTCTTCAGTATGGAAAAAAGCTCAAATAACCCTAATCTTAAAATCTGGCAACAAACAACTTATCAAAAACTATAAACCACATTTGATAACCATACAGTTGACTCAAACTTATTCACCAACACGGAGTATATCCTGCATAGCCTCGATGACAAACACCAAGTTGATGCTATTAACACCGACTTCAGAAAGGCCTTTGACAAAATCGATGACTCAGTTTTGCGACAGAAGCTCGCTGGAGTCGGGGTAAATGGCAATCTGTTGAACTGGCCTCAATCTTATGTGACTGATTGTTGTCAAGCGGTAACAGTTGGTAACCGCAAATCAGAATATCACCTAATCACCTCCGGATTACCTCAAGGATCACATCCAGGGCCACTCCTATTTGAAATTTATATTAATGATATATTCCAATGCTTTCGATGTATGCGGGCGATCTGAAAATAAACCAGTCAATTTCTGATGTTCACGACATCACGCTAATGCAGCAGAATAACAATACCTTTTATGATGAGGTGAATAGTCTGTATCCGAATAGTATGTTACCACATTTTATTTGGACGCGGAAAAAAACAATCTGGATCACTCATATAATATTTGATTTCGTTTCTTCCGTTCCTTACAAACTGTCACGGAAATAAAGGAATTAGAAATAATATTTGATTCCAAAATGGTTTTCGATAAACATATATTCTACGTTTCTAAAATGACTCACATAGTATTAGATTTCATAATGGGAACTTGTCGGGAATTTGAGAATATACAGACTCTCTGTACTATATTTCATAACATAACATAACAATCTGCACTGACAGCAGACAAGCCCTATTAGCCTTGAACAGACACCGTGTTACTTTAGGGCTAGCACTAGAGTGCCACCAAGATCTAGCCAAAGCCTCGGTAGATAATATTATCCTGAGGTGGGTTAAAGGGCGCGACAGGAGTAAAGGTAATCGCATTGCCGACTCTGTAGCCAAGGAAGCGGCTGGACTAAGAATTCTAAGACCCAGTGGCACTTACGGCCTCATGACTTCGACAATTGCGGAACTAGCCAAATGTATCACCCATGCTCAATTCCTAAAGAGATGGGATTTACTCAAAGGGTGCAATCTTGCCAAGATCACCTTGGGCAACCCTGGGAAGCTGGCGCCGAAGAAATATCTGGCGATGACCAGGAAAAATGAACAGGAGGATGAAACTGTCAGGCATGTCCTATGCGAGTGCCTGGAGTTATCGTCAATAAGAGAGTGTGTGTTCGGCGAGTCTTGGCCTACACCTGCCGATATAAAAGAGATGTCTACTAGTGACCTGTCCACCTTCCTGGAAAGGACAATATCGACGATGACCTAGGAGGAGAAATCCTCGGGAGGATGTACAATGGGTCACATGTGGCCTAAGTGCTGTGGTCTTATACTCACCCTCCCTACTCTACAGATACAAATACTCCCTTTATTTCAAATGTCAATATGGGTATGGCTCTGTAATATGGAACCATAGATACAACATTTACATGAATAAACTTGAAACGGTACAGAATATATTCATGAACTATATGAATGAAAAATGTTTCTCACTCCACCCCAATAACCGTATCTATGTTGACACTAGCGAATAGAAGGGGAATTTCAGATGTGAAGTTCCTCTTTAAAGTCATAAATAATTCAGTTGATTCACCTGCTATCCTTAGTAAAATCTACCTTAATGCTCCTACGTATATAGGGTGTTCCTTAAACACATGCTAATATTTAAGGAGGTAATTCTTAGACCCATTTTAAGGAAAAAACGTCCTATGGACGTATGTCCTAAACGCCTTAACTTTTGAGATACAGGGTGGCAAAGTTTTCAAAAATAATCAGTTTTT